TAAAAAAAAATCTAAATTCCCTTCCAAATTAAATATTAAATAATTATTTTTTGAAGAAGTAAGGCTCACAATAGTTTTTGCTTGAAAAAATGGTTAAATTAAGTATGTTTAAATATATTTTAATTTAAGTTTATTTACTTTATTTAGATGTTTTTAATTAAATAAAATTTTATTTTTAAACATTACATTGAAGAAGCAAACATTTCTCTATAAAGGAATTTAATTACTATTTTGAAAGAGAGTAGAAGCAAGATACATTGAGAATTTAGTTTTGAAAATTGATTATATTTAAATTTCAAGTTATATTTGTATTTGAAAAGACAAAAAAACTTTAGTTAAATAAAAATTAGGAAACAGACATGATTTACAGTCAACATTAGTCGTGTCGAATATTTGTTTTACAAATTTAACTATATTTTATTTAAATTAATTTTCAAAAAAATAAGGCTTGCTATAGTTTTTTGCTTTAATAAAACTTAATTTAAAATTATTTACTTTTTTATGTTAGTTACAAACCAAAAAAACATTTTTTAAAGATTGAATAAAAAAATTATTTTCCATAAGATGGCCAATAATACAGTCAATAATACACATATATACACATATACAGACAACTGTCCTTTAGGGTTATACTGAGCCTGTATATATATTTATTTTGTTATTAATTATTGAAGTTTTTTAGACACACCCAACACACTTGAATATTTGAATAAATAAATATTAAACTTTTTGTCAAATAATTGTATTTAATATTCTTCTTCTTTTAAATTTAATTTGTTGTTTTAATATCATTTTTTTAAAGCTATGCTTTTATTTACTAGAGATGTGTAAGTAAATTCAAGAGAATAGAAGTTTTAAAAATATATACATGTATAGCATTTCGAAAGTATCAGCAGAATTAAAAAATAAAAATGAACAGTAATAATAATCAAGAATAATAATTATTACTGTTTGTTTTTACTTTTTAATTCTGAGAATTTTAAATGCATTTTGATTTTAAAATATCTTCATAAATACAAATCATACAATGATAAGTTTTTACAAAAAGCTGGCTTGAGTGATAATGAGTCTGTATATATATTTATTTTGTTGTCATTATTGTAGTTTTTTAGTTTTAGCCAGGCACAAACACAAATGAAGACAAAATACTGATACTATACGTTGACCCTAGGTAAAAATATTAAAAATCCTGATAATTTCTTTTGTATTTTCTTTAAAACAGAAAGGAAAAAAATTGCACATTATATTTGCTCTATAGAATACCCATAGAAGTTAAACAGTTTAATTTGACAATTGATTTACATCTCAGTTGTAAATGTAAATGTGAAATATATTCCTCAATAAAAACCATATGACATGAGAAAAATAGCACAAACCAAAGTGGATATGATCAGTTTTCTGAAAAATTGTTTGCAATTTGTTTGAATACACAGGTAATGTCATGGAGCTTAGGGGTTAAAATGAACAAGTGAATTACCCACGCCAAGAAGATTAATGAAGAATGATAATAATGAAAAAACACACAGGTGATTTTATCAAAACAAGATAAGGAATTTATTTACAAATTTACATGCTTGAAGTTGTGTCAGTAGCTCGTTTCAGGAAAATAAATCAGAAATACATGTTTATACAATAGAATAAATGATCCAACACAAAATAATATTCAAAAATGTTTAAAACAAAAGTAAGAGAGTTCATTGCACACCGAAAGGATATATGGTTACATACTTTCAAAAGCAGATGAAGACAGAGAGTTTGAAATACTTAACTTTCTTGGATTGTGAGAGAAAATTTTTTGAAGTGCCACACGCTTGGTTAAAAATCGATAATATAATTGGTTAGTAATTTTACACTGGCAAGAACATGAATGCTAATCGCTGGTAACTGCTCATGAGGAACTGAAACAAAATCTTTCACATGATACTCTTTTCTTATTAATTTAATTTTTCTCTTCATTTTATATCAAAAGGAATTTCACATATGCTGGCTACTTTCTTTCCTTTCTCCTTGGCTCAATGTCTAATTTTTGTGAAAACAAGGTTTTCATTGGTCCAAGAACAATTTCACATAGGCTCACAAATTTATTTCCATTGTCTTCTCAGCTCTCTGGTCAGTCTCTGTGATGGCAAGGTTTTCATTTGTTCAAAGAAAATTTCACATAGGCTCGCAAATTCCTTTCTGGTTTTTTCGTCAGTCCTCCAAATTTGAAGAGAGTGGATGAAAGGAGATATTATTATTTTCACTGACTACAGTGTTAGGGACTTGGAATGAGCCAAATTCAAATTTATGAGAAAATCTATTGTAAAAAGGCTAACTAAATAAAAGAAAGAAAAGCCCCAAAATATTAAAATAGAAAAATACAAATAATAATTAGTATATATTCAAATTCGATCTTTACTGGGAACTACACTTTTATGAAATGTGATTTCCTTTATATTTTCTCAGCCCAGCAGTAATCATTAATTTTGCATATCACATTCTGCCCCTCCTCTTACTGCTTGGGCACTTATATAGTTTCTATGCCTTAGCTATGCTAATTAGGCAGTCATTTACATACCACTACATATGCAAAATATTAAAAAGCCCCAAAATATTAGAATTGAAAGATACAAATAATAATAGGTAAATATTCAAATTCAGTCTTTACTAGTAACTACACAAATATTAAAAACTAATAAGCTATTTTCATTATCATTCATAAGAGTTATGTTCAATTTTTTTTGTTTGATTATTGTTGTTGTTGTTATTGTTGTAGTGTTTGTGAAGAAAAAGTTCATAGTGAACACATTATCAGAACATATTCTGTTAATCAGTTTCAAACAAAATAAAGAAAATTTTTTAAAATCTATATGAATTAAGATTTGGTAAAATGAACAAATTAGAGAGACTTAAATTATAGTAAACACATTATCAGAAAATATTCTATTAATTAATCAGTTTCAGACAAAATAAAACTTCTTTTTATTAAAAATTATAAACTTATAATTTATGGAGAAAGATGATAATTATATTGCCTTTAAATATATATATATATCAAATAATTAATCTGCAAAGTTTAAGTGTTTATACATGCATAGTTATTAAGTTATTATACATTTTATTTATAACTTAATTTTAGTTTATTTTTATTTTGGGCACATGACTGAGTGGTTAGAACATTCACTTTCTGACCATAAGACACAGGTTCGAATCTCACTATGGTTGATTTGTCAGAAAGGTGACTTCTTGATGTTATCAGACTGAGGAGGCAATCCCAGTGTGCACCATCTTTGGAAAGTGCCTGAAAATCATACTTGGGTTGACCCAAGCCTTGTGAGTGAAATTGGGTAGCCATTGGTGGTTGTGCTAGCATGAAATAACAAGTCATCATGACTGAAGGTTTGAGCGTGCTGGCCTTGTTCAAACTTTTGATTATGCTAGATAACACACTCTCTCCCAGAAATTGTAACTAAGGTCCACACAGCATAGCTACAGTATGAACCACAGGTGGGCTCTGTGAGTGTTGAACAAACACAAATTTTCCTGAGCAGATGTCTGCAACAGGGATTGGCTAGCTTCCCTAGTAAACGGACATTCTCAGATACAAATGGCCAGCCTTTATTTTATAAATTTTATACTCTTCAAGTAACAAACATTCAAATAGTGCTGAGAGCATTTTTCTGTTAAATATTTGTGTGTATTCTTGTTTTTAAATACTACATCCTCATAACACACACACACACACATATATATATATATATATATATATATATATATATATATATATATATATATATATATATATATAAAAGACAATGTATTAAGTAGCCAGTCTGCAGTCAGAGTAAAAGTTCGAGTCAAATTAGTAAAAGAAATTATTAATATTCATGTGTCTAGTCTGTTTCCTATTGTATAAAAACTGTTTTCATAAGAAAAAATTGAACTAAAAAATACATATTTGTGCTGTTAAGGTCTTGAGATCTTGTTCATATTTAATACTGCTCATTTCTCAGGCAGCTTAGTTTAATATAAAGCTACAAGTCAGTGAGGATTGAACTCATTGTTTGGTAGATTAGCTCAATAATTATTAACCTATGCGAAAGGACTCTGTTATTTTTAAAACCATAAAATGGTGTAAGAAAAAAGTTCCTAAAAATGATTTTTAGATACTGATCAATTCATTAACAAAAAAAGTATTTTTTGCATGTAAAATACATGAATAATATAAAATTTAGAATTAGATATATTTCTTCCATTTAGATTAAAAATGTTATTTTGAAGAATGTAAATTTAAACAATGATTATAAAAAATATTTAACTTTGATCTTTTGTATTAAATTTTCAATACTTTTATGTTTAATATAGGAAACCAGCTGTATCTAATTTGCTAAATAATATGGATTTCAAGAAGGCAGGATGACTGATTTTGTCCAAACAATTAGCAAATTGTTCAAATCAGCTGATTTGTTCTTAGATTTTCATCAGGTGACAAGCTTTACATTACAAGAGTCCAATTGGAAAATGAAATCAAATAGTTATCAAAACAATAAAAAAAAGTATTTAATATTCATTTAGAATCTAAAAAATTACTACTAATTCTAATGATTAGTACTAAAATGAAAAACCCACACTTTGTATATTGAAAGAAACTTTTCAGAGGAATTATTTCTTAGGAATAGAAATTTGAGGAAAGTTGATTTTTTTTATTTTATAAGTAATAGAGAATAACATTAATAACTATTCTTTATTTTCTTAAAATTAAGATTAGAGATCCTAAAGTCAGTGATTAAAGAAAGGATCTGAAACAATGTTGCTTCTAGTTGATTACCTCGCTTGATAAAGTTACTCTTCTGTGTAAGTTATCTGACGTCAGATGTGTATAGGCGCCATGTTTACTTCGTTTCGCTGGCAATTCACAGTGTCTGTTGGAGAACGGGAATACGGTCGCTTCAGCTAAATTAAATTGTCAGCCGTCAGTGGAATAACTACAGCAATATAAAGTGTCTTAAACTATTAGCAAAATGACTATTCTTCCAAAGAAGAAGCCAACAAAAGACAAAAATGACCCAGAAAATACGGATCATAGCCACCACTCGTCCGCGAATGAATCGAGACATGAAAAAGTGGGACGTTCTAGAAGTTCTCCCACCCGATGGCTTCCTGCTTCCACCTCTTTCGATGATAAACGGGATTCTGGTGGAAGTTCGTACGATGGTCATGACAGTAGTTCAAATCATAATAAACGACGACACAGATCGTCACCCCACAGGAACGTTCGTAAACATAGACATGACCCTCGAGGAAGTCACCACCCTCCGACATCGTCATCGTCCCACGTCGGAGTCGTTGGTGGAGGAACCGTGCCTGGGGCAGTTTCTGTCGGAGTTGCAGTGGTCGGCAATGGTTCTTCACCTTCTGATTATGAATCTATGACTGGTGGTTACAACAGCGAAGATGAACACGCAGCCCCTGGACGGCAACTACAAGATAACACTGATGAGGTTGGTAAGACGACAGAGTCGAGGAATTGTCTAATTAATGCGTAGAACACACATTTTAAAAATATTGCCTCTTCTTATCTGTGAATATGCTTTATCGAATGCTTTTAATACCATTTTCTCGTTTTGAAGGATCGTAAAAACTTGGAAAATGATTGCACTTATAAATTTTCACCTATGATCAAAACTCAAAAGATAAAGAGAAATATAACCTGACATAACAATAACAATTGAGTACAATAACTGTTAGTGTTGCTGTTATAGGACTGGAAGTTTTTTTTTACCAGTAAAATGACCACCTTTTATTGTAGAACTAAGCAAGCAGAAAAAACTGCTTCTCCAAACAATTTTTAGTCATCGTTTTGTTTTCCTATTTAATTTGTATGTTCTCGAAAAAGATAGATGTTATGTCGAGTTTTAAAACGTGTTTGAAATAGCAGATAAATGGATAATGTTAACTCTTTGTTGCGTTTTTTTTTTTTTTTAATTTTCGTTGATGCGTAATCTTAACATATTCTTGTTTTGTTTTTAATCATAGATTTTGCATTGAATTAAAAAGTATTTACTCTGTAATCCAAGAAAGAAAACGATTTTTTCATGATCCACCTGTGACGTCATCAATTGTCGTTGCTCTAAAAATACAAGATTCATTATTACAAGAAAGTGCGATCGAATCTAATAATTGTCGAAGCCTTGTTATAATTTATACAATTATTTACTCACTAAATAGCTAGTTAAATGCCTGTTGTTTGTAAGCGCATTGTCACTGTAAAAGCAAAAACATAATTTATTTTGCATATTATTGACATTTAAATCTAATAGTTACCTGTTTTGTTTGTTGTTCCTTCCTTGTTTCACTACAAAGGTTAACTTTTGATATTCATAAAAATATCATCACCAGAAAAGTCGGTATTGTAGAACTCAATTTTTGAATTTTTTTTTATATAATGGGATATAAATTATATAGGTTACACTTTGTTTTTAATCTCATTTCTGCATATAGAATAAATTTACTTAGTCGTAACAGACAGGTGTTAGTTCTCTTCATACAGGCAAGATCTAAGATTGCTACTTTATTATTGTCTTTATCACTGTAATTCACTGTTTCTGATCACAAGAATTGACATATGAAGAAAAATGTGTTCTGCAGCAAACATTATGTAATGAATTTATTTTTCTGTTCTTTATGTTCAATTTTTTTTTTATTTAAGCGATAGCACAAAACAATACATTGGATTTTTTTCCTTTGCAGTCAGTGCAAAATTTTATTCAAAACAATACGCTCAGTCTTGAACAAATTCAAAGAAGCCCTAAAAACATGTTTGCTAGATTAGTTATGTTTGCATAAAATTGAGTTATTAGTAATTAATAACTTGGATTTTTAGCTTATTTTGCTAGTTGAAAATACTGTGTGTCTGTGGGCGATTCAAAATGGAAGACTTCACGGTTACACACGGTAATTGTTGATTTACGTTATCTGTTAATGTTGTTATGTAAGAAGAGTGATATTTTTTTCACCCCCGCCCCTCCGAAAAACAATGAGCTTCCCAAATCGAAAACAGTTTCATAGCTTAGCGCGTCATTTCAAATGTTTTTTTTTTTTTTTTCAGTAAGTCTTCTTACAAGATGAGGCAAAGCAAAATAGTCATTTTACACTCTAGTTTCTGTTTAGTTTAACTCATTTCAAGAGTAATAAAAATATTTCAAAATAACTTTGATTAGTGGGAAATGAAAATTAGCATTTAACTTTAGTTTCAACCCCAAATATTATTCTTTTAAAATTATTAAATTATTTACAAAATTTGAATACTTGAGTGTTCTTTTTTAGTTTGTTTTTAAGAAAAAAAAAAGCACTAATTTGTTAAAAAAAAAAAAAAATTTGAAATATTGAGGTAGTGGTTTGTTCATTTTTTATCTTAAAAAAAATTGATCATTCATGTTTATAATTTAGCCTAGGAATTAATTTTAATTTCAAACTAATTGAGAAAAAATTATGCATAATTAATTTTAAAGAACTTTTTGTTTTGTTATTCATTTATTCTCCTTGTCACCGCAATGCACAATGAAATTAGGCAGCAGCCTCAAAGAGCACTGATACACATACACTATTGAATGAAAAGTAATAACATTTAAAATTGTCAGTGTGCAGCAACATTCAATTTACACAGGGCCCAAGGAGAAAAGCTGTCTCTCAAATACTTTGTTTTAGAATTAATAGAACTAAAATGTCAGTAACCGTTCACACAAGTGGTACCTGGGATGCATGCTGTCTTTCATTATGTTTTCTGCAACAACAAGGATTAGAAATTTCCTCGAAGGAGGACAGTGAAAAAATTATTTTATGGGCAATATCTATAGTTCTTTGTCAGGTTTTCTTGTTGGCTGCCAAGCAGCTGGAAATACCAAACAGTGATGCAATACACCAACATATTTTTAATAGAGGTCATTAGAGCTCCCTCTTTGTAAATTATTTTTTATGATGCTTCTACTAAATTAAAATGTGCTTTGATGAAAGATTATAAATGTTTCTATTAGCAAGTAACTTTCAGTTCACCCTCATAAAATACTTTTAGTTGTGATTTGTCATTGATTGAGATTTAAAGCATCAAATATATCTTTTGAGCTTTGGTTAAAATTGAACTGGCAATATCGCTCATATAGATCTGATCATTCTTAAAAGGCAGAATGACCACACTTTACAGTAGTACAATTTATTTTTAAATTTATTCAGTGATTTTGGAATTGTAATGATTTAATTTTTTTCCTGAGTTACTAAAAATTAGTATTTATGAAAAATGACTAACTGAAAAAATGTTCTACCTGTAGCATATGGCAATTAAATTTTAAAGACATTATGCATAAAACTAGTTCAAATTGAGCATTAAAAACTACTTTCATTTTTATTTATATTTTTCTAGTGGGGCTAACAGTTTTAATATAACAAAATTACTTTTAGCATAGAATTGTCTTTTTGTTTACTAAAATGACTAGCTCCTACCCAATAACCTAGCACTTTATTAGTACAACTACAAATACTTGTTGGAACAAAATGCCCACAAAGTTAGTTTTGGTATTTGATTCTAAAATTTCCATGCATCAATTTTAGAATGTTTCTATGAGACTTCACCAAATCAGCAAAATTTATTCTTTTAAATTTTATTACTATAAACTTGTCAAGTGTGGGTGTGTAGAATGAGAATTCTAAAATTTGGCTGTCATAAAATCATTTTTTCTTTAGTAAATATACTGTTAAAATCCAACTTTATAATGACATGCCTTGGGAGAGTTAAATGTGCTGGCTATTATACATTGGAGTTGGCACAAATTAAATGTTTTTCTACAGTATTTTTCTTGGTCTCAGCAATTTTATAGAAAATCACCTTTTTCTTATATTGCTGTTATGAAAAAAGGTAATTTGCAACTAAATTTTTAGCTCAAAATACTCCAGGTAAATAAACATTTTTATCTAATTTGGCAATATACTTAGGAAAAGATAAGTGTATAAATTGTAAGGCAAGATTATCAAATACATTTTTTTTAAAGTATTCATTTCTCCAAGTTTAACTAATTTTTATTTTTTTAAGGTAACTCTTATCACAGTATAAAATAAATATCACAATTTTTACATATTGTTATTTTTTTAATATATAAAATGTAAACAATGAAATTAAAACCATCATAGCTTATGAACCACTGACACAAAAAAGAAATTTATACTGCTGTGAATATTCATTTTATTTTGCAGCAACACCAGATTCATAAAAAAGACATCAAAAGAAATGGTACAGTAAAAGATATATGCAAAAATCTTTCCATCTCTTATGTAGAATTTCTAAGTACTTCTAAAATGCTTAGTATAAAACAGCTTTAATACAGATTTTCTCCAATTCACTTTATATTACAAATTCTACTTTGTGCTTGTGAATGTATACTTAATTCAGATTTAATCCCAAAGTGTTTTTGGGAAGTACTTATTTTGAAATAAAATTTATGGTGAGTTTAGGCTATGATTAATTTAGGACTACATTTGAAGTGATTTTTTTTTTTTTTTTTTTTTTTTTTTTTTAATATCAAAATCTAGTATGCAAATTTATAATCTAAAAAAGAATTAATATATTATTTATCAAGTAGTCTGTTCTGGGATAGGCAAAATGATATGAATAGCTATAAAATTAATATTTTGTTTGAAGATTAATAATTTTCTAGAGTACAAAAACCTTAAATTTTAAAGACAGTTCTGTTATCAATAAGATTTTCAGTTATAAAACAATATGTACTTTTTTGTTTGGATTGGAGTAATGCTATATTAGAAAAAAGTTTGAAAGTTAATCTTTATAAAGATGTATTTTGAGTTTCAATTTTATTTTGTTTATTTTAGTTGGAACACTGGTTTGAAGCAACTTTAAAAGAGAAAAAAGGATTCATTGTTAAGAAAATGAGAGAAGATGGGGCTTGTTTATTTCGAGCTGTTGGTGAGTATACACTACAAAAGAGATAAGTTTTCATCTTAAAATTCTTTTGAAAAATCATAAATCATTAAATCACTATTAAAATTTAAACAAAATACAAGTTTGATTGAAGATAACTGACAAGTTACTGTGATTAAGCTTTTTATTAAATTTTTCTTGCATTTGTACAAGTGTTTTCTTTTCTGGACATAAAATTTGTAAAACCTATCCAAATGTTCTATATAACCGAATGTTTTCGGCTCTTCTATTAGCCATCATCTGGGTTTTTATTTTTTTTAAACTGAATGTGTAGATTTTTTTTACATATATATCTTTAGGGATGGGAATGTTTCTTTATTTTCCAAACATGGTCAGCACATTGTGACTGTCTTCATAGTTGATATTATTGAGTGTTGGTTTTTTCTTTTTTATTATTAATGCTTCCATTATTTTTTTTATATGTAGGACTCTTTTATAAAAGAGGGATTGCTACAAAATACACAATTCTATATATAGGTTGAATAGCCTTTATCCAAAAGTTTTTCAGGTGCTGACATGACTTACCACAAATGGAAAATTTCAGAAAGCACTGGGAAGGTTCCTAGGGGATGTGCAGCTGTTGTAAGGGATCTCATCTGCCCTGTATAGGGGTTCCCTAGCCCAGCTACGTAGCCTATGTTGGTGACAGTTTTTTTTTATTAGTGATCATCACAGCAACACTTTCATTCGTGGATTACTTACCAGGTATTACATGCACAGTAAAGATATTATTTAAAATGTCAAAAGTCCTGCAGATGGGTAGTAAAAGGGGAAAAAAGTATTTATGTTTTATCAATATCACAGAATGTCAAACTGTTGGAAAAACTAGACACAGGTGTAAGCATGAAGTGCCTGACTAAGAGTTTGGTGTTGGAACAACCACCATATATGACCTAAGGAAACAAAAAGAGAGATTGTTAAAGTTTTATGCTGAAAAGAATTTAATGAAAAATAGAAAAACACTACACAGCAAAAAATGATGATCAAGATTGTTTATTGATGGAGTGGAATCATCAGTGTTGGAGTGAACATATGCTGCTTATATAAAACGACCTTCAGGGTAGATGTATAAGCTGTGTTATGAAATATAAAGGGATATTGTGTTTATGCTTGGGTTCCATTTCCAGGCTGCTCCATTTTATAAATGCTATATACAAATTAAATAGCCTGTATTCCAAAATCTGAAAACTGAAGCACTTCCAGTCCCAAGAATTTTGGATAAAGGATTCTCATCCTGCTTATATATATATATATATATATATATATATATATATATATATACACACGTGTGTGTGCATTTGTGATCTTTGCTTTTTTTAAATACTTAATAAAGTATTTAGAAAAATGCAAAAATAACACAAGCACTTAAAACATCTTTGCTACATTGGGTGTTAAAGGTTTTGAATTAGATTTTCCAATTAAAAAATTTTTTATAGTTGTAGTCAATTTTGTTCAAATGGTGTTGAGTTGGACTTTCAAAGTTAAATAAAGAGAAGTAGCTTTTGTAGTTTAGTCATTGAAATTGGTAGAATCGTATAAGAGAGCATGGAATTAGGATGTCTAAAATGAAACTTTAAAGGAAAAAAAAGGTTGTTTTAATTTTTTGTAGATTTTGTTTGTATTTACAAAATATTTCAACCATCCACTTTTTCACTGTAGAAAATAAATGTTCATCTTTGTACTGAAAAGTAGATCTGTGGGTAATGAATAATGGCTTGGAATGAGAAATTGAAGAACAGTTTAAATTCCAATCAGGTTCATTATATTCACTTACATACAAATACACTTGGGAAAGGTATGAATCCATCTTAACACCCCCCTCCTGCTATGAGTTAGTAGGACATGTATCTGAAAAAAAAATCATTGTTATTGCAATATTCACTTGCAAAAAATAAGAATTATTCTTACAATCCAAAATGTCTCGTGACTTTAAATAACTCAAAGGTAAGCCATCAAACAAAAACAAATACACAAACAAAAAACAATTCAATCAATTGTACTGAAGAAAAATTTGGAACTATAAATACTTAAATATAGATTGGATATTTGTCACATTATTTCAACTTTGGCACCAAGTACTCCTACAAAAAGTATTGATATGATTATTCTCAAAACAATTTTTTACTTTTCACAAATCAGAAGAAGCTGTGTGTTTTCTGGTAACCAACAAAAAAGGTTATAATTTTAGTTTCTGACTAGAAAATCTTCAATTAGATGTCTCCATTGCATAAAGATAACAGTTCAGTTTAACTGATACACAAATTCATGGTATAGTTTAGCATTATTCAAAACATGCTTCAGGGCCCCATTAGTAAGAGATTTTGGTGTCTTATAATAAAATTATAGTTCTTTCTGCAGGAATTTGAAAATGGGACATATAACCATTTTCTTTCTTTTTTTTTATTTCACTCTTGTACACAGAAATCAACAATAATCCCAGGAATAGAAATAAGATGGAATTGTACTTGTGAAAATTTCTGATTTTTCTATTAACATAGCTTTGTTATAAATTTAGTAAATCAGAACTCTTATCAAAATATCAGTTGATATAGCAAAGTACTTTATATGTGCAATTAGATTCCTACAGTATTTTGTGACCAACTCCTACAATGAAAATATAAATGTACATTTGTTCAGTATATATTTCCATGATGATCCTCATTGGGGAAACTTGTGCTAAATAGTTAAATATATCATGGTTTTGAATTATTAAGAGACCTGAAGCAATTTTGATGGCATTGAAAAATAGTGTGTGTATGTGTGTGTATTTCTATCACACTTTAAACTAGATACTAAAAGATTTTTAACAATTTTAAAATTTGTTTAATAGAGATTTATGGAAATAAATAAAAACAATCAGATTATAGTTAAATTAGTGGTTTTGTAGGATTATCAAACTGTGTTGCAAGAGCCCATCATCGGTTGATTCTATTTTTTACATAGTTTAAAGTTAAAGAAAACTGGAGTAAAAAAATGTACTACTTTTAATTTGAAATATGGTAGATTTAGTCAAATTTTTGTGTGGATGCAGAAATAAATTTGGTAAATTTTTCTATAAACACTTTTTACCAAATTATTTAAAAAATAAAATTGATAGTTTTTAATATTTTTCAGAATATCACTAGAAATAGTATCTGTAATCAGTGTTGGGACAGGGAATAAATTTTTAATTTAATCTAGATTTAGAAATCTGAAGTTTGCCTTGTGTATGTGTTAATATTTAATTTCTTTTCCATCACAACTAAAAAAAAAAAAAAAAAATGATTTACATTGCTCATATGTGTTATCTTTATTCAAAAATTTATTTTGTAAAACTTTGTAGCAATTCCTTTAGATCCCTTTTTGAATTACTTTCTGTTATCTATAAATGAGTATCCCAAACTGCTTTAGCTTACAGTGCAAAAATGTGTCAAAATAGTGAAATTTCCTTCCATTTCAACTTCTAATATCTCATTGATTTTCAAGGCTATTTTGATAAGATTAGTATTGCAAACAAAATTTAATCCTTTTCCTCTATTAAAATAAAATCCTTTCTCTGTCACTATTTCAATGACAGCGCTTATTTTGCATTTTCAAAGTTGACAATTTCATAGTGGTGATTTTTTTTTTTTTTTTTTTTTTTTTCCAAACTGTCATGCTCAAATCCCTTTTGCCTCAGCTGTTGTTTTTATGCATTTTCTTAAAACAAACATTAAACAGAATTTATATGGATATATTCTTAGTTCTTTAAATTTCACACTCACGTTAGTCTGAAAAAAATTAAAATGATCCTTTTTTTTTTTTTAAGACGAGTCCATTTTATCTTTCTATGGGCATTTCATTTACGTTAATGGGTGGCAATATTTTCTCGGGATTAAATTGAAAATTTGTTTTCTTTTTAAAAATGAAACTGAATATATTTTTTTTTTTGAACTGGATATGTTTTAGCTTAATTTTGACACATGGGTTCATAAATTGAAATGTAATTGTGATTACGAAAATGTAATCATTCTTTTTTTTCTTTGTTTGTTAATTCTAGGGATTAAGTCCTATTTCAGAGGTTAAAATGAAATGGTTTCATTTTCTTAAAAACTTTTGCAAACTTTTTTTGCTCTCCTTAAGCAGTTAACATAATGCCATTATCACTGTTATGAAAGATAATATTTTTTTTAAGAAGGTATCTGTTCCTTTTTCTTTTTATGCATATTTATTAGTACTTTTCATGCCAGACACCCCTATCCCAGGTGATTAATAAAATTTACATTTAATTTTTTGTTCAGTGGATAATGTAATTTTCTTCTAAGTGAGAGGGGCAGGCTAAAGAAAATGCCAAATTTCTTGTAATATATGCTGATAAAGTTAAAAATTGTTGATGGGAATTGACATTATAGTGATGTAACTTTTAATGGAACATTATCTCCACCTGTAAAGGAACAGCGGAAGGAGGAAAATGAACACAGTGACTCTCTGAGTATGCAAACAACTCTAGCATTTACAGTATTTACATTAGTCGGACTATTGTCCTCATCTTTGTCGCCATATTTGTCACAACGTTTCGGCCGTTGTACCATGTGTCCTCAAGGACACATGGCACAGTGGATAAAGGCGTTGGTTAGATCCAGTGACAGACCCAAAGAAGGTGAGTTCAATTCCTGGTTAAGGCAGTGGCTAACTTTCAGAGGGAAAATTAGCAGGAGATAACTGATAACTGACATCCATCAAACATGGCACGTGGAATTAGAACAGTCTACCCCAGTGATCGAAATAAAGGGTTCAGTTCGAAATTCCAACCACCTGAAGAAGGCGGAGCGTACAACGGCCGAAACGTTGACAAATATGGCGACAAAGATGAGGACAATAGTCCGACTAATGTAAATACTGTACATAATACCTCATCTCAGAAATATAGACAAACTCTAGCATTTGTTATGAAGAAGAATCACTTCAAATGAGCTTCAGTCAAAAGTGCCAAGACCAATTGGTTGCAATATACTATTACTCCAACATTTACATTGATCAAGTCATTGATATTACATCTCCATCCAGTGCTGTAATCAAGTTTAGTTCCAACCAAAAGCAAAAAAGATTATTTTTGACAGCCTATATATTCAATGATATTGGTGTCAACATTTGTCTTTTGATGGGAATTCCATCTATAATACCACTTTCAGAGAATGATAGGATATGGAGCATTCCAGGAATATCGGTTATAGCAGAACCTTATAAATAAATTGTAAATCACCATTAAGAGGAAGTGAAGGAAAAGGTATTCATATTACAGAGAAAAGAATTGTTTTATTGAATTTCTCATCCAAAAATTAGTAAAGTTTCAGACATATACCCCAATGTATACATTTTATGGCAAGTTCAGGATGATATACTTTTGACTTGTTTTTACTTTACTGTCAAACTGTGCATCTAGCTGTTTTTATTCATGTACTACTGAAAAAAATTACCTTTATCTCAGGTGTGCTATGAATCATAGCAAGAAGTTGTAAGGCATTAACTGTTGAAATGAAACTTATATGAACAGTCAAAAGTTCACTTCTGTCATGTCTTAACTATTTCAATTTTGAGAACACAATTTTTCCCAATGTTTAGGCTGGTCAAATCTAATAATTATTAATTCCATTAGCATATTTATTTTACTTCAAGACTAACCATATGACATTACATTTATGATGCTTTTAGCCTGTATGTTTAATTAAACACTGTTAAAGTTGGCTTCTTGCCCAATAACATACAAGACTGAAATCTGACCAATTTTGATTGGTCATAATTTTTTTGCTAATTTAGCTACCAAGATAAATTTGACACCTTTTTTTTTTTTTTTTTTTTTTTTTTTATCAAGCTCTCTATACCTGTATTAAAGTATTAATATACTAAAAACTAGCTTAAAAGCTGCCCTGTCAGGCAGCATTTAAGCTAGCTCCTGCAAAGGGCTCTTAATTGGACCTTCATCACAATAGTTAGGGAGGGGTATATGCAATAGGCATCAATAAACTGCACAAGAACTCAAAATTGACCATGGCATATAAGTATTGCATTAATATTTAAGCTTACTTTTTAAAAGTTCAGCAAGAATTCTTCTGTTGCCACTTAATTTAAAGACAATTTGTACACCATCTGTGTGAACAATTATTTTTATTTCAAGGGTGACTTTTGCTGATTTCACAATTAATTTTGATTATTCCCAAATTTATTTCCAAGTTATAAAAATTGTTATTCTACAAAAAATCACCAGAAACAATCACAGTAATGAAAACTTGGGAATCCACAATTTCAGGGTTGCAGATCCGGACTAGAATGTTTTTAATTTACTCATGGAGTTGGCCTGATTCCAAAATGGTATGATATATTGTGCTACTGCTTCTAGGAGTAAAGTGAAAAACATGGACAATTTTATTTTGAAACACAAAGAGCAGTAATTTATTTTTTCATTTGAATATAAGTAATTGAAAGTTAGAGAGTAAAGTTGAAAAAGTTTGACATGGTGACATTCACATTTATTTTATAGATAAAATTTTAGTTTGGGATACTTATTATAAATAACAAATTATTTTCTTTTTTCAAATACTGATTCTTTGTAAATATTCACATGTCACATCAAAATACTGCATAATACTTTTGTATATTTATTTTTAAGCTGACCAAGTTTTTGGTGATCCAGAGATGCATTCTGATGTGAGAAAAACTTGCATTGATTACATGGTATGTTAAAATTATGCTTGTAAAACTTATGACTATTTTATATAAGAATATTATTAAATTGTTTCTGCTGAAATCTGCTAAAGCATCACTCATGATTTTAATCATAATAGCTTCCAGTTAAATCTTTCATTTGTGAGCAGTGTGTGTTTGTGTATAAAGTGAATTACAAAATTTGTAAATTGATCTCTGGAAATTAAAACTTGAACTTAAAATTCTCTTTTTATTTACATGGAAAATTTGAACTTGATGCATCTGAATATAACCAAATAAAATGTATATAATATCTAATATTATTATAATGATAGGAAAACAGCAAATATAAGATTGCTTTCAGTAGATACATGCATACACATATTTGACAGAAAGTCAAGTTTTTTTTAGCAAGCTTATTTCTAAAATATCTATATTTTAATTGCTAATTGTTTTTGTAATAAAATTAGCTCTTCAAGAAATAGATTTGCTTTGGAATCCACTTGTCCAAACTGATCATAATCTATATAATTGTAAATTTTGAATATTTTACAGATTTTGTGATATATTTCTTGCTAATGTTTCGGATAATGATCATATTTGAAAAAAAAAAATTACATTTATCAGTGAAAGATTTTTCTAACATTAAAACTATTCCATTAAAAGAGCTGGATGTCTTATTGTTGGTTTAAATTAATAGTTGAACTTTGCCTATAGAGTTGTTGTTCATTGACTAGGGCTGATAGAGCTCATTCCATCATTAATTCTAGATCTAAAAAAAGGTGATAAAATCTTATTTTAAAGCACTTTACAATGAGGGCAACACTTTAGGATTGTAAAAGTAAATAGTTTTGCTTCCACTATTTTGCCAAATGGTTATAATGCATTCATTGTTTTTAATTCAAGCTGCATTAATGCAAATCATATCTAAAGCTGCTCCTGGGATAACTTTGTCAGGATTATCCATTATTTTTTTGTGATCTAAAAGATCAGTAGATATTAATGGATTTTCTTGAAGTTTAATGTGCAGTTACTTAGGTAAATGTTTTTAAAAAAAACTTTGAGATTGTATCTCAAAGTTGAAATAAGAATAGCCATAATTAGTTATAATTATGAGAATAACTCCTTAAAACCCGATATATTTGAATATATTTGCAATGGAGTATCTTATTACAATACTAGAGTAATCTGATATCTAAAGGCATTGCAAGTATTTCATACCTATCATGTCTTTGCATAAATTACTTAAAAACACAAACCAACAAATAATTTAAAAAAAAAAAAATTTAGTCCATCCTTGAAGTAAGAAGACATATGGAAGATGATCACTTTTAAAGGTTATCTTTATTCAAGAGATAACCACTAAAGAGAGATGAACTTGTCATTCTCTTTATTGCTTTAACATTTCACACAAAATCTCTCTTAATTAACCTATTCTTTCCAATTCTCTCTTAATTAATCTTAACAATCGGCAATACTTGGTAGCATCATTCACTAAGCTTAGCTAAATCTGGTTCAAGGCCAAATAAGGAGAGAGAATTAGGAAGATTATGTTGCACCAAGTTTTCAAGTAGAGCATTTTAAGTGGAATGTAGGACAGAATGGATTCTTTCTAATTGCTATAAGGTTTGTATCAATTACTATTATACAATAAATATGGGTAAAGATATCATTACTGGTCCTTTTGAATCTTGTTATTTTAAAAGCATCAATATTGTTATATCTGAATTATTTTTTTCCTCCTTATGAGACTTGAATTGTATTTATTTTTATGTATAACATATCTGAAATATTTTTCCTAGGCTAAAAATGTAGATTACTTCAAACATTATGTGACAGAAGATTTCAATACTTACTTAAACCGTAAAAGAATGGACAGCTGTCATGGTAACCATGTGGAAATGCAAGCACTGTGTGAATTGTATAATCGACCCATTGAAGTCTATCAGTATAGCATAGGTAAGTAAACAGTTTAGTTTTTAAGCTGTTGGATATAATTTTTCATTTAAGCATGAATATAGATTGCTTATATTTTTTCCAGGTATTTTTAATCAAAATTTATGAAGTCTAATTTAGTGAAATTAGCATCATATTACATTTTTTCAGTGGCTTTTTGTTTTTAAATATTACATACCATGAACCATCTCAACTACTTAGCTATTCAGCCTGAACCTTTGATGCAGCCCATAATATCAGTACCTTGAATGCTGTCAGAAAATGAATGCATCCAATTGGCCCACCTATTCATAATCAGGTAGAAGTTTTTTTTTATAAATTTTTATGCAAATTATTCGATTATTAAAAAAGTTAATACATTTTGATGTTTAAATTTATTTATCTCGAATGATGCTCTCTTCATGCTATTCTAGAATATCTCTTGAATTTTAACTTATTTTTCATTCAAAAAAATTGTATACATTTGTAGGAAAATAATATATAGTTTCTTTAAATTTTCACTGAAATTGCAGTTGGGTCAATATGCACTAAAAGATAATAGGCATATGATTTCCTTTTCTCTTTTTTTTTTTTTTTTTTTTTTTTTTTTTTTGATGGTTTAGAATTTCTTCAGTTGCAGAAACAAGATGTATTCAGTACTGACAGAAATTTACTTTTATTAGAAAACATAGCATCAAGATTAAAATTATATTGATCAAGCTTCAATTTCCATTAAGAGAAATTAATTGTTATACTAGTTGTGCAAATTTAAATTGATTACTTTCAAAATCAGTCTTGTTCATAAGCTCTAATTTTTTCTTTTTTTAATAACATTCTTTTGCAGGTAAACTTTACAAGAAAAATAAAACTTTTTAAAATTGTATTTGAATTAAAATTTAAATTATTTTAATTTTCAAGAATTCCTTTACTCAAATATAACATACTTTAGATAGCTTACATTAAATAATGACAAAGTAAGGTATACCTTTGTAATATTCGTGCTATTCAATAGCTAAAAAATTCAAAAAGATGTGAGGGTATCACAAAGAAATGGATTTTTTTTTTTTTTTTTTTTTTAAATATTTTAAGTCTACTTCATTTATATATGTTCCCTATTTTCTTATGACTTTCTAGCAAAATGTTTTCTATATCTATGAAGAAAAGTTCTTGGTCTGACCAAGAAGGGATTCCAAAAGAAATTCTGATCTTGAGAAATTTTGAACACACTCTCATAATTTTATTTTACTAGAAAATAAATAGAACTATTTTTTACACCAGTATGTTTTAACCTACAACCAGTAGTTTAAAAACTTGTTCATCAGCTTTAAAAAAAGGTTTGCTTATTGTAAGTCAATATCGTTATGGGTAAATTTAAAATATCAATCATCACTAGAAAAGACTTTTACCACAAGTGTACAAGGGTCAGTATATGCTTTTAAACATTTTTAAAACTGTTAATTCAAAATAGCTTGTGTGAGAGATTTATATGGCTGTTTGCAGATTTAGCAACAATTCACTTTTCAGAAACAGTGCTCACTTATGAAATATTTGTCATGGATTGGCTTTCCAAAGCAATACAGATTAAAAAAAAAAAAAAAAGTACAAGATTTTGTGCTGAATCTTATCAATCAGACTAAAAATTACTTTTGTGTAACAAGCATCATAAGCCAAAAAGGTGAAGACAGTAATGACTTCATAATGATTTAAAAAAAAAAAAATTAATTAATGATATTAAAATGGTGGGGTGCTGAAAAATTCTCAGCCCAACCAAGAAGCCTTTCCAAAGAAAATTGTGATCATTTGTTCAGATTTTGTGGGTATGCATCAGACTGAGAACTTTCTATACAGCATCCTCTTATTTGAGTTCATAATTAGACTTTATTCTTGTCTTCTGAAAACATCCCACATAAAAAATGTCTTGAATATGAAAAGAAAAGACATTGGTAAATGGACCAGCTATTTTCTTTTCTTCAGTGTATTCTGTTTCATTAACTTAACAATAATTGCAGGAGATTTCCTTAGTAACTCCTAAATTCTTCTCATTCTCTTTCACTCCCAGTAGTCCCTTGCATTTTCATGGCCTTGCTTGGGATGAAATGATTTATAAAAAAAAAAAGTATACTTAATAAACAGAAAAAAACACATATACATGCATATATTACTGCTTTTATTTACCATTTCCCTTCAAGATTAGATTATAGCTCTTCACAGCTTCTTGTTCTTTGTATCGTTTGTGCCATTACCATCTTTCACATTTATAGTTCTACTACTCTTTTATATAAACTCATTAGGTATATTACTCAGTATGTCTTGTCTGCCTCTTTTTCCTTCAATATGTCGATATTAAATTCTACAAGCTCTTCTTCCTTTATTCTGTATCCCAGATATCTCAACTCTCTCTTTCTGATTGTAAGTATAAGTGTTCTTTTTTGCTTCCATTTTCCTTAAAACTTCCTCATTGCTCACATGTTCCATCTGTGGCATTCTCAGTATTCTGTATAATCATGTCTTGGTTGTTTAAGTCTCCTCTTCATTTATGAGGAAATTGTTCAGCATTCACTGACATATAGGAAGGGGGAGATCTTACATGGCAGTTCAACACTCTTCTTGGTTTCTAACAAAATTTTCCTGTCTAATTACTTCTAGTTTCTTGAAGGTATCTTTTGCTATTCCAAAGCACTTTCAGGTTTCTGTGTCATATTTTCTGTCATCTGTTACAAAACTATCTGAATATATTCTGTACTTGCTTGAATCTGATGTCTCCAATTTGTAACTCACACCTTCAGCATATCCTATGTTGTTAAGATTATACCTGCCAATGATAAATCCTGGTAGGTCTTCTAGTTCTTTTAGGATTGTCTTGTTGTATAGGTTAAATAAATCCAGTGAGAAAAAGCAACCTTGTCTTATGCCCCTTTGTATTTTTATATACTTGCTCAACTCTTTTTCTGTCCACATGCAGGCAGTTTGTTCCTAGTAAATGTTATTTATTATTCTATTTTTTCCAAATAAATCAAGTTTTCCTAGCAGTTCAAATAGATCTTTGTGTCATACCTTATCATATACTTTTACATGATCTATTAAACATATGTATAGATTTTTTTTTAATTTGAAAACTTCATAAGAAATGGTATCATTCAGTTCTGACATGTTTTCCTTTACTACATATTAATTTGGAATCTGGCTATAGTTCTTACCTATTGCATTTTTTTAGTAATCATATATAATCCTAAGGCCTATTTTAAAGCCAGTAAAAAAAAAAAAAAAAAAAAAAAGGTAAGTAAATCCTTATTTCACTTAACTTATTTACTATTGTTCTTGATAGTCAATATAATAACATTTTTAAAATCCTTCATATAAAATCACATTGTACTATTTTTCATTTTTTTTCCTTCCATCTTTTTCTTTATCTGTCCAAGAGCAATGAAACAGGTAATTCCTAGTCAGCTGAAATTTTAAGTACCCTTGCCCACTTCTGAACAACAGAATTCTAGAACAATAATTAAAACTGATTAACTTAATGTTTCCTTTTGTCTCTTTTACTCTTTTGTTTAATTTTCTTATTAACATGTTTCAGCCAATTCTTATGGGTCCTATATTTATTTTATGAAGGGATCCTTTTCTTGCTCTGACTTGTACATTAGTCTAGCGGAAAAATGGTTGTCAAATTTTTTTACAATAAATACTTAAACTGAAAACCAAATAGAAAAAAAATGTAAATGCACAATGTTCATGTTTTAACCTTTTTAAATGTATTGAGACCTGAATATTCTGCATTTACATTTTTTAACCTAGTTCAAAATAAATTATTTAAAATAAATAAAAATATTCCTTCAAAAATCTAACTATTTAGAGAATACACACATTGTTATTTTCTTGGAGACTCAGTTTATTCAATCATTTTGTATGAAATTAACATTTTTCATATAATGATATCTGAAAGAGTGCATTTAATAATTCTTTATATTTGTAATGCAATTTAGAAAAGTAACTGTATAGTGTATTTGGTTTCCTATATACCACAAATATAACTTAAATGATTTTCTTTATCAAAGAAACAGTTGCAGGTTTCCTGATCATTTGTGGAAAGTTAAAATTAAAAGGTAATCTTTTAGACAAAACCTGAGTTCACAATTAATGGATGGTAGATTAACAAAACACATTCTGTGTAATTATAAACAACTTAGGTGACCCATTGTTTGTTAGTTTGAATTTCATCTGAAATTGCGCTTTTATTTTTTTTTTACACTCTTGTTTAACAAGCAAATTGATTATTAATTATTATTAATCATGTCTTAATTTTTTAGGTTATAATACATTCACTGAGGTTTCACCAGTGCTATAATGGACCTTTTCCCTATTGTTAATGTTACAATCTGAAAATAAATGTTCCAGGTGTAACTTTATGAGATCTCTACTTAAAGGTTGTATTTACTAAACTTAGTTGGAGAAACAGACCATAGAAAAGATTGAACTTGCTACACAGCAACAACTAGTGGTCTGCTAAACTTGTTGTTCAACTTTTTTCCCCTCTGAATTTTTAGTTATCATCATTTACAATAGGACTATTTTCGTCATCTTTTGTTATCCCAATGTTTTCATCCGTTATACCCTCCGGCCTTCATCAGGTACTTGTCAATCCAGGTAACTTCCAGGGAATTTTTTATTTAACACTGCTCATTTATTGCTTGCTCTATTTCCACTGAATCCAAGTACACACTGCCCAACCCAGGGATTGAACTCAAAATTAATTTTTTACCAAATTCACAAACAAGTGCTTTAATCAACTTGGCTATTGTCCCATAAAACAACAATCTACCCCTGTAGATTAAATAAATGGTTCAGTTTGAAAATCCCTAAAGCACCTGATAAAGCTAGAGGGTACAACAGCCAAAGCATTCTAATAATAACAACAACAACAACAAAGATAAGGACAATAGTCCAGTTATAAATAAAGTATTGTTACTGTTATTAACCTCCATGCTCTTCTCCCTTTTCAGATCCAATTAACACTTTTCATAGTGCATATAAAACAGACAATGAACCAATTCGAATTAGTTATCACAGGAATGTACATTATAATTCGGTTGTGGATCCTTTTAAAGCCACAATAGGTGTTGGGCTTGGATTGCCTGGTCTTCAGCCTGGTGTAAGTATAAACAGCTGATTTCATATTGTTTTAGTAATTTTTTTTAATATATATTATTCTAATTTGATTTAAAATTAAATATTAGCAATATTTGTGAGATTAAGTATTGTCAACTTTTTTTCTCCTCCATTTGCAACTATTCATTGTTATATTGTTAATATTAATGTTTTGTTTTGTTTTTTGTTTTTTTTTTTTTTAAAGAACTTACTAAAAGTTCATATGTGTGTACAAAAAACACACACAGGCACACTTACTTCAAGGGTCCGTCAGCTAGTTTTTTTGACAACAAAATGGTACACCTCCATTGTCTTTATTGTATCGGGTTTTAATGAAACATTTCTAGGTAAATGAATTGGATAAGAGAAAGCTTTGACTAATTTAATACTATATGATTATTAAGCAATGTTGAGCCTGGTCACTAACTAGGTGAATGACCACTTAGGAATACCAGATGCTGTAAGTTTGGGTGGTGTAATAGATAATGGCTCAGGATTGTTAATCAGTGAGCTGAATTCCTATTCCTGTTGGTTTTGTTGTATTCACTTACTTGTAAATACTCTTAGGACAGGTATGAATCCACCTCTTCTCCCCTCCAGATATAGCTTAATTAGTAAGACTTTTATCACTAAATCCATTATATCCCTATAAAAAATAAACTCTTGCCATCTAAAAATATTTTCTGGCTTTAAATAACCTGCTATGAGTTGTAGAAAATGAATCACTTATTTGTGGGTAATACTTTTACAACAAAATCTACACCACAAAAATGATTGCACAAATACAATTATGAACTGAATTGTTAGAATTATAAGTGATGCATTTGATATTTGCAATTTCATCTTTTGATGGAGGAGGAGATGTGCAACACTTTAAAATAAACTAAAAATAATTAGATTCTCTTAAAGTGTTTTTATTATCATTATAAATGTAAAAATTCTTCAAATTACAAGGTCTATTTGCTTGTATATTATAAATTCATCTCTTTATCATTTATTAAAAGTCTTTAACCTAGTAAAAGGTCAATGATTACTAGTATTTTAAGATTAATTGCTCATAAAACTAAATTATGATTTAGAATATTTTTTAAAAAGCTTTTAAATTTAAATTGTTTTCCAGACTTTTAATAGGATATTGTTCAGTTCAAATTTCACTTGTATATTTTAAAACCAGTGATAAATTCCCTTAGTATAACCAGGTCTAATTGTGGTACTATTCAGAAATTTAAATTACATTTACACTTTTACATTTATACACATTTACACTTTGTAAACTTTCAGTTGGCTGAAAAAAATCTGATGAGAGATGCTGTAACACAATCAGAAGATTTCCATATTGAAAAAGTATGTATTTTTCTTTTTTCATATAGTTACTTTTTCAAAATGTTTTCATAAACATTTTCTAAATACATTTATCCAATTGCTTTTCATCTTTATATATCTTTGAGGTTACTAGAAGAAAAAAAGCCTACATTGATGAAGTTTATTAAATAAAATATATGCACAAAAACAATACTGACTTTATCAGTATTTTTCTTCCTCAGATTAAAATTTAAATCTGTTCAAAAGATGATATTCCATATTTTGTAATAATAAAATGTACTAAATAGTTGTTGCATTTGCATACACCAGAAGTCTTAAATATGCAAACTCTATCTGACCCACAGAATATTTTTCTGTGAGGAATAATTTTTGTAACTAATATTTTTTTCTCATTTTAGTAAGTTTAATAAATTTATCCCTCACCCGGTCCATACTTTTGTAGTCACAGATTTTACCTACCCACCTTCAATCAATTTTATGTTCAGCAGAGTGTTCTAGTTCCTCTCCAAGGAGGGAAGAAAACTTAACTCCCTCATCAGCAACCTGACAAGAGGGTACAAATGTACTTCCCAGTGCCTCAATCTATTGCTTTAATTTTATAAGAAATACATTTATCAATTCCTATTAGGGAATTCTGGCTTTCTGCACCTCTCCCTAAGTATGTTTGTCCTTGAGTTTTGAGACACCTGGCATACATAGTTCATGTAATAAATCTAACAGCTATCATGGTATAGTAATTGAATTTGTTCACTTAGTTTTAAAGATTATTTTTAAGAACTTTGAAGTATTTTTCTTGTATTGCATAAAGATTTACAGTACTGAACAAAAAGAATGAATATTTAAAAATCTGATAACAGAAAATTTAAATTTGGAAATAATGCTGGAGTTTTTTAGGGTTTTTTTTTTTTCTCCTGTAAAGCTACATGGTGAATTTTTCTTTCTGAAATTTAATTAAAATGCCTAATATAAATTGTTTATTGACTATAACGTTTTGATTAATTTATTGTCATATGATAACAATGCTTTTGAAAATGAAAGAAAATATGAATTATATTATTTTTTTACAGGCTATGCTTGAGGACAAGTTACGGGAAACAGACTGGGAATTGACTCAAGAAACAATTGAAGAACAAGTGGCTCGAGAATCTTACCTTCAGTGGCTTAGAGACAATGAAAAGAGAGCTAAAATTCAAGGCCCAGTAAGAATTGACACAATTTTTTTTCTGCCAAATAGTTTGGCATTTAGAACAATTTGTATACACTGGTAAATTTATATATATATATATATATAATTATTATGATTATTTAAGTTGCTTTTCAACAGGGTATTGAAAGCTAGTTTGAAATTTCATCGAATTTATAATAGAAGTACATTTGGTATGTGTTTTTTCCTTTTGTATGACTAAAACCAAATAACTAATGAAACATTTTAATACTGCTAAATTAGATTATGAAAAACCTTATGTTTTACACAGGGAGGTGCTGGAAAGTTCTTGGCCAGACCAAAAAGCCTTCCTCTCCCTCCCATAAAAAAGAACAATCTTATGTTTGGTCTGTTTTCAAGAAGTGAGCCTAGCTGAAAAGTTTTTAGCACTCCCACCCCAGTGTGTGTATACAAAAATATTTCAAGGTGAGATTTCAGCAATCACTATTTTTAATTGGTAGAAAAATATGAATGAACTTAATGTTTAATTAACTGTAGTTCAGAATGTTATTCAAATGTCAGTAAGGTTTTCTTGATAAATTTTGATTGAATGTCAAATTCATGATGACATACTATAAATGAAACCTCTTTTCTTCTTAAGGCACGATCTGCTAGTGCAACATGTAGTTCATCCAGTGAGTATGCATTGATTGGGCCTGAAACAGTTGCCTCTCCTGATTGTGGTCGCCTTGGTCGTTCTCCACGTCATCGGAGTGCTTCCAATTCAACTCAAAGCAGTCCACATTCTGCTGAAAATTGCATAGAAAAGTTGCAATCACAGCCATCTCAACAACCCCTGCCACAGCAGCATTGTAGTCCAAATCGACCTACAGATTTAACTCTGCATTCAGGTAATTTAACATTTAATATATTATAATGCAGATTTTACAAATAAACCAAGTAAGGTGAGTGATGTGTTGATTAATAGAGAAGGGAAAATGAACACCAACCTCCTAAAATGTACTCCATAGAATTATGGAACAACACTAAAACTGTTGCTTTTGAATTCAATTTGAAGCCAATGTAGATAATTCCATAGAAAATATCAAAAATCTTACTGTTAAAAAAAAAAAAATTTTTTTTTTTAAAAATTACTACTGCTAATGTTTTACTATTTTAAATATTGTTGCTGATGGTTTTAATGTCCTATGAATGTCTCCTCTTAATAGATCTGATGTGACATTTTATTAAGAAAAAACTATTGCTCTATTTTTTATTTATTCTGTCTTTTTTTTTTTTTTTTTTAAATTCTGCTCACCAATAGTTGGATTTTAGTTTTTTTATAATTCATCCTGAATTTTAAAGTTGATAAAACTAAAACTAGGATTTTTTTTTTTTTTTTTTTTTTTTGCATCTATATTGAAGTAATATTTTTTTCTACAGAATATATGCAAAAAAAAAAAAAAAGAAATCCTAGTTTTAGTTTTAACAGTTTTAAAAAATCAGGATGAATTATAAAAAACTAAAATCCAACTATTGGTGAGCAGAGTATGAAAGAAAAATGACAGAATTTCACCTTGAAATTAAAGAAATTTTGTATTATTGAAATGAATGGCTATGAATAAGAATCTATTTACTTTGGCTTTTTTTTTTTTTTTTTTTTTTTTCAATTGCATGATACTCTAACAGTTTTATCTGTTTTAATGATATCTAAATTTTTAAACATTACTTGGCATTTTATATTATCACATATTTTTTCTGATCTAGGAAAATAAGTATATTTGAATATTAAATTTTCTATGATTAAACCAGGACATGAAAAATTACAGAAGCATTTTCCAAAGATTTTTATTGCAGTAAGATGGAAAATCATATAAAAGTGTTTATTATTATTATTATTATTATTATTATTAGGTTATGAAGATCAAGTTTAAAACAGTTTCATTAAAATGCCTAGTAAGAAAAGTTTTAAATGCAAAAGGCTTCCTAAGAATGAATTATTTTAAAAGTACCTATTTTTAGTCCAGTTTATGATAATGTAGCTATTTTTTCCTTCAAAGAGTATGTGAAATTCTCTTCTAAAATGAAGTACGTTTACTCAACCTAATGAGTTCTATGTCTCTATATATATATATATATATATATATATATATATATATATATATATATATACCTGCCTCTTCTCTCCTTTCTTTTATGTGCCATGTCCCTTCAGGACATAGGCGATCATGGCTCTCCATAACTTCCTATCATTTGTCGCTCTAAGCAATGTTTGTTTGTCCCCTTTCTATCCCTCCTAGTCCATGTTCTGCCATCCATTTACACATTTACATTTGCACTTCTCCCCCTAGCCATGAGTAAATTGCGGAGTAGACTGGGCTCTAGCTAGTCTAGGAGGACAGCTCTGAATTCAAAACCATGGAGAAGGCAACAAGAAACTACTCAATTATCTTTCCAAAGAGGTCATGGCGATTTACAGATAAAAGGAAGCTGTGGAGAGTAATGATCGCCTACTTCCTGAAGGTATATGGCATAAAAAAAAATGTGGGGACAGAATTTGTTTGGTGGCAAAGACACCTCTAAATGAAGATGAATCAAGAAAATATTTTTCTGGTAAGAATTTGCAGTATGTATGATAAAAGCTAACACATTTTTGTGGAGGGTATTGCATAACAAAAAGTTTATTTAAACTGTTGGCTACATAAGATGTGATCTCTTTGCTTGACACTTTTATTTTGTATGCTACAATAAAATGCATTTTAATAATTTATACCAAAATATTCTCCATATCTAAATTATTTTGAATATACACAGTCCCTAATCTAAGTCAACATGCAGATATTTTATATTTATTTATTTTTTATTTTTTTAAGTGGATTTTCTATCCTATGGAAAGTAAGCAATAAAACAAGAACAATAAAATTACAACTTATAATTAGTGTTTTTTTATCTCCATTGCTACTACCAACACTCAGACTATAGAGAAAAGTTTAATCTATCAAAAGATTTATAATAATGTGATCTGTTATATATATATATATATATATATATATATATATATCCTAAAGCCACTAAAACACAAGGAGTTACAGGGTGTGGAAGAATTAGGAACAAAAACATTAGTAATGAGTGGAAAGAGAATAGAGTAATCAGGACAGTAGATAGTGATTGACATTTAAATTTTTGCAGATTAAAGTTGGCTGCAAAGCATGGAGCTGGAAGGGAGTTCCACAAGCAAGAAGTGCAAGAAAGAGACTATTAGCATAGAACTTATGGCTATATCCAGCCAGCTCAACCGTCAGTTGATGAGATTTTGATACCGGTTTAGTACTGCACTTAAATTCAAAAAGTCTACGTACCATAGCAAAGAGCTCATCCAAACTATTACTATGAAAGTATTTATAGAAAAGGCACAGAGGCAACCTTACAGCGGTGGGTAAGTGTCTGAAGCTGAACCACCAGATCAGGACCAATAATAATGCTGATTTTTCTTTGGATCTTATCAAGAAGCTCTAAGTAAATAGAAGGTGCACCAGACCATATGTGACAGCAATATACTAAGCATGGACAAATGGTGGACTTATAGATATGTAAGATAATTTCTGGAGAGAAAAATTGTCTGGCACAATACAGTGGACTGACTTTCTTAGCAGCTAAATATACAATGGATTCAATATAATCTTTCCACTTCATGTCAGCTGAGAACATTAGCCCAAGAAGTCACTTTCCTGGCAGTTAGCATCAGAGTGGGATCTCTCAACAAGGGTTCACATTATATATAAGTTTAATAAATAGTAATGATAATAGTAGCATGAGCCAGCCACATTATCCAAACAAATTCACAAGCCAAAAAAGGGTTAATGAAAAAAGGGTTAATATTACAGAGCAATATATCATTTAATAAAATATAAGAAATTAAAACCAATTCTTCACAAGTCAGCTAACTTTTTAAGCTGTTTGCAAAAAAAAACAATAACATAAAAGAAATCTCTCGTATCATTATACCATACAGCAATACAAATTTGCATATTCATTTATGGCATTATTAAATATTTTTTTGCCTCAGCCAGGTTTGAAGCAGGACTTTAAGTACTTTCATGCATACCTGCACCCCAACATTATTTCATTATTCTTCTTTTTATTTAATTATTTTTTTCTGTATTTCAAACAGTATTACTAATTTATTTCTCTTGGCATAAATGGCAAATATCACCTTATAATTCTTTCTATTTTTTTTTCTTTTTTTTTTTTTTTTTCAAAACTCTTCAATCAATTTCAGGGAAGATGTCTTTGTTTTTTCTCTTTATCTTTTATGTCCCATACATACTTAGAGCAGTGTTGTTTTTATATTTATACATTTCTGTTGACGTCTTGTGATTATAATATTTTTGTTTTAAAACTCCTCTCTGTTGAGACTTCAAATCTCACAGTTGCCACATTGTTAGTTACACACTTACCATTGAGTAAATCAAGCTTCCTGCAATTATACATTTCTTTCTATTTTAGATTCTCAATATTTTTTTTAGCAGCCTGCCAAAGTTAGGTATGCAGCTGTTGCTCAGATTAATATTCTCTCTCTCACTTATATCAATACTGATATGGATTCTATTCTTATTTATCTACAGAATAATCACTAATTTTAATAAAAATACAATCATAATTTATTAAATGATTTTGCAAACTTATATTATTTAGAGAGTTATATTTGTTATATGCATGTTAAGTGGGGTAGAAACTTTATAATTTGTTTCAGTGAAACAAGTATGAACAAATAGATGAGCTCAAATGTTTTTTTATTGATAAGTTTATCAAAGAAAAGGCAGTATAGAGTTCAGATTTGTGATACCTTCAACTTAATTTAATAGGAGGGTATTTTATTTTAGGAAGCCCCAAGTCACCCCAAATAGGGAATGAACCTCTTCTAGGTGCTGTTGCCGCTGGGACTGGTGGAAGCTGTCCAACCTCTGATGTGGCAAGTGGAGGCTTTGATGAAACAGCTTCTATCATGAACCGTTTGCCTCCAACAATGTTTGGTAAGTTGGAATCAACTTCAGATAATTATATTTCATTTTCACTTGTTTTTATCTATGAAACTTCTTGTTAACTATTCTTTATGAACAATTAAAATGACATTATATGAGACAGAAATAAATATATCTTTGGTCAAAGCAAAATGATTTTTTGATATAGGCAAAACTTTTATAACACAAACATATACACATAAGTCCCTATTTATTATATAAAATAAACAAGCACACATGCACACACATATATTAGCATAAAGTTCCTTTATGCACTTTCCTTTCATGTCTTTCCCAGAAATTACCGATGCTTGAATATTTTTTAACCTTTTTCATTTGTTCCGGGTTTTGATTTTCTTTTTTTTTATATATTAAAATATTGTATAATCACTTTACAATGTAGCCTTAATTGAATTTGTTCTTGTTTGATACAGTTTTTCAAGTTGGAAGAGTTGTGTTAATACTTGCTTTACCCTAACCTCATGTTTGTCAATATTTTTTTTTTTTTTATAATACATGACAAGTCAAAAAAATGGGAATAATTTTCTACTTAGCCAGTGTACAAATTCCAAATATTCTTGGTTACAACACTACGTAAGAATTGATGTTTTTAAAATTGTGTTTGTAGGTATATTTATTTATTTTTTAATTTTTTTTTTTAAGTTTGAGATTAATGTATTAAAATTTATTGTAATGAAGATACAATATATTGCTAATATATTTGATATAAAAGTGGACACTGAGGTCAACACCAAGGCCTGAAGATTGTGTTCAAGCCTAAAACAGACTTTCACCACTCTGTTGTTCTCAGTGCATTTGTAAATATAAATATGTACACTATCTCATGCCCATGAATATAGCCTTAAAATTATATTTTTATCATCTATCTTATATATGAGATAGCAATATATATGTTTCTATATATCAAGAACACTATTGGGGAAATTGTATGACAAAGTGGAAAAAGTTTACTTATAACGCATTTCATCCTTTAGGACTAACTAAATTTGTTATGTTGATAGAACCGCATATACTCACAACAGAGTAGTGCTGAGAATTTTAGGATTTTTTTTTTTTATCTAGCCATATTCATTTAGCATTTTTTTCTTTTTCTTTCCATCACTTTTATAAGTAGGTATTCCACACTGATATTAGATGATCTGCTAGGAATGGTAAAATGTTGTAAGAGCCAGGGTGCAAATTTACTGTGGATGACCTTGTGATTAAGGCACTCTAGACATTTATATCATAGTGAATTATTTTCTCCTTTGATCAGAGTAGCATTTTTATGTCAAAATTGTGGTCAGTTTCATTACGGTGGGCAAACAACACATTTGATGTATTATTTTGTAAAATGTCCCTTTTGTGTTCATATAATTTTTTATTTAGATTCCTTGAGGTTTCTCCTATGTATTTTTTGTGACAATTTTTACAGGCGAAAGAGTAAACTCCTCCTTCAGGTCTTGTTTTGTTTAGTATTGACTAAGTTTTTATTGTTTTGGATGTAGCAGTAACAAATGTTATGTTGAGTTAGATTCTTTTCAAGTGTAGATGTGATAGAATTAGTAGGTAGGATAACATATTTTTCTTGATTCATTTGGTTCCTCGGGAGGGGCTGTTTTTTTTTTTGTTTTGGAATATTTTATGGGCCTCTTGTTTCACATTAAATATGAGATAATTAGGGTACTGGGAAAGTTTGAAAATGTTTTCATTGCATTTCTCCTTTTCATGTAAATAATCCAAGCTGCATATTCTTAGTACTCCAATGATTATGCCAGTTTTTTTTATTTGTTGTTATGATGAAAAGAAAAATTTATTAGCTCATTTTTGTTGGTTGATTTCTGGTGGACAGCAAAAACTGTTTAAAAAAAACGGTTTCCATTTTGTATGTAAATTCCATTGTGTTTTTGACTTTGTTTAGTTCATCTACTAGGTCAGGTAAATCAGTATCACAAGGATATACAAGTAGAGCATCATCAACGGAAGTATGTTGATTGTTTGGGTAAAATATTTTGGAAAGGACCTGATTCGAGAAATTCTAAGATACATACCATCACTCCACTGATAAGCAATCCCATTGGTAATCCAAATTTTTGTTTGTAACAATCATGATTAAATGTGAAGTAGCATTGATTGGTGATGAGATGGCAGATTTTTATTAGCTGTTGGTAGGGACAAATTTAACTTTGATTGTTAGATGCTTTTTTTATACCTACTTAACAAAATAGATAAAAAGAAAGATTCTAAATGAATTCAGCTAGATAAAAAAAATTCTAAAATTCCCAGCACCCCTCTGTCATGCACATGTGTAGTCCTACCAACATAACGAATTTAGTCCAATGATGTCCTGAAGGACAAAACGTGTCACAAGTAGACTTTTCCACTGTCATACAATTTCCCCAATAACCACAAATACATGAAGCAAACAAGCATAGTAAATATATTTAACAAACAAAACAAAAACAAAATATGTTATGGTGCCATATTAGAGAAAACGTAACTGTCATAACACAAAAACATTAACAGAAAAGAAAATCTTTGATAGTTGCTTATGTAATCAAAAAGTATTCCAATAATATCAAACAGTTCATATCTGAACTTTTGCTGGAAACCAGGGAAATGGTAGAAAAAAATCCTTTACAGAGAACTTTAGTTGAGCTTTAACCAAACTTATTGTGTGTGTGTGTGCTCACACACACACAAGTTTCATTAAAAACAACTGACAAGGTTTTTTTTTTATTATTATTTATTTTTCTTGTGTTATAATTTTCTTTTCTGGACAAAGAAAATTATAAAAACACAAGAAAAGTTAAATAAAAAAAAACTTAACCACAGTTTCTTGTCAGTTGTTTTTAATGAAACTTGTATAAAAGAGGTATTGCTGTCCAAATCCCCTATATATATATATATATATATAAATAATATAGAAATAACTAGACTTTTGAAAAACCCTCGAATTTTTGATTTGTTAATCAAATCAATTTCGAGGGAAAAAAGTTTTAAAAAAGAAAGAGCTACAAACATAAACTTCTGCCGACAAAAAATCGCATGCAGGTCTGAAGCCCAAAGAAAAAACCCCGATACGAGTAACAACTAACTAACAAAAGAGCTCAATACAATCGTAGAGCAAACCTAGATACACCTAGTGAGCCAGACAAACCTACCTAGGTTTCACCTAAACGGATCGTCAGGGAAAGCGTGTATCTCTATATATATATATATATATATATTTGTTTGAATAAAAGACAGACCACGTTAAGATTCCATGTAATAAGCTATTTCACCATAACCCCTTTAACAGGGTTCTGGATCATCAGACTTTACTTCCAAAAGCTGAAATGAAGAATGAAAAGAAATTCACACGTTTTTTACGGACCTCATCAAGTATACGCAAAGTTGAGGAAGTGAGGTGGGAGAGAGGATATCGTGTGTCATATGTATCATTTTAGTTTCCTATTTTAACCCCAGTGTGTCGGCTGGATGTTGCTCAAATCTGGCGCGTCTCGCCTCTAGATAAAGGTGGTTAAGGGGTGGCGATAAGGGCTACATTAAGGAAGGCAAGCGTTACAACAGCCCCAATAATTACGACGACAGGTTTCATTCAAATTCCTAGACGCTGTCAGTTCGCATTACTTTTAACGTGCATATTTGGGAGGTTAAGGTTTGATAAATATCTAAAATTTTAAAACAATCTACGAAGAAATTAATTTGAAATTCGGTGGAGTTTGGGTATTTCCTATGAAGCAGTCGATTGGAAAGATCCATAGACAGGATTTTTGTTCATTAAGTAAACTCGTTGTTGTTTTTAGGCCCTTCTTTTATATTTTCTTATCTACACATGTCTTAAATCCCTATTTGTAACCACATACCTATATAAATCTTATATGCCTATGAGCTCCTATATACACCTACACACACATTCCCACGAAAACGCTATATGTATATTTCCATCTTTACACATATACACCTGCAGAGAGAACGCATCCACGTCTCCATAC